TCCTTCCTGGCTACGTGCCCAAAGTATGTGAGACAGGGTTTCAAAATCCTTGCCTCCAAGGAGAAACTTGGTTTCACCCTCTCCAGGACAGATAAGCTTTTCTCTTAGTGATGCATGATATGTTCAATACTCTTCTCCAGCATCACGACTCACAGACACCGATTCTTCTTCTGTCATTCTAACTCATTGTCCAGCTCTCTGATGTATAGCAAATAATTGCAAAGATCTTGGGTGGACTGGATCAGGTGCACCTTATTCTCTAGACTGCCATTGTTGCTTCTTAGTACTCTGGAAAGGTCCCTGACAGCAGATTTCCCCAGTGCAATTCGTCTTTTGATTTCTGATGCCAAAGATGTTGATTGTGGAGTCAAGCAAGCTAAAAGCCACCCTGGTTTTCCCCCCTGATGTTAGCCTAGAAATGTGTAATTCATCTTTCACTGAACCTGAAATACAACAAAAATGGTTAGGACTACTTTGATTTAAATAGGACCTTATATTTTACATTATATTTTACATTATTTTCCTTCCAGATAAAGATTAAATCCACCAAACATATAGTTGGCATTCATCAAATCTAATATTTGTTTAACATTAATCATTAAATTCACCAACTTCGCCTTTTTAATTTTTAGTTTTTGTGTTCACCTATTAACATGATCTGAATTTCATATGATGAAATTTTTGGAGGTAACGTGCTTTAAACCTAACTGCTAATTGAAAAGTCCATAGTTTGAACCCTCTAGCTCTGTTAAAATGTGGCAGTTATCTACATTCCAAAAAGATTATAACCCTGAAAACACTGTAGGAGAGTTGTACTCTGTTCTTTAGTTATAAATTGGAATGGATTCTATGTTAACAGTTGTGATGACAGAAAACAGAATTTCTCTAATCCCACATTTTACAAACAATAAAACAATATACCCAAGAGGATAAGTTATTTATCCAGAATCACAGCAATAATGAGTAGTAAAAATAGCCTATACTAAAGATTGCTTGCCATCCACAAATAAAATGATGCATGTGGCTACAGTGCTTGTTGTGTGCCTCCTAGTTGATTATTACTAAACTTTGTCTAGACTATAATCTTTACAACTTTAGAGTGAAACTGGCAGGCAGGATTTCCTGCATTGTAAACTTTGCAGTGGATCACCACCATGCCTTTTCTCTCACAGACACACTTCTCTCCACAGACCCTGGGTTTGAACTAAAGCTGGCTGCCGTCAGTCATGCAGAGAAGGGAACTACTTTGCTAAAAGTGAAGTACAGTACTCCCCTATAAATCTATCGTACAGTTCTCTGTCTCCTGATCTTCCCAATACTTTCTCAGTAGGAGGAACCTGCAACTTTGTTGTCAGCTGAGTTCATCAGCCAGCCTTTCCATCCCTAGGGAAGATCTTCTAAGAAGGATTGTCTTGTGATTTTTACAGTTTTCAGAAACACTAGCTGTTTGATGCTTGTGGGAATGACTTCAATCCATACTAGGGAAAACTGTCATCTATGTTATCTCCCCAAATGGAGCTGTGCTCAGAACAGGAGAAAAGGAGATCAGAACAGGCTTGTGATGGCGCATTGATCGGCTTACTGAGTCCTCCATGTGTACAGGAGGATTCCTCTCATACAATACGCAGACCTGGGTTTTATAGCTGAGAAATATATAGATTATTTTCTTGCATAACTTATTTATTTAATTGTAAATATATGTTCATACCTACTCCCAATCTAGCCCTAATCAAGGCCCTGGGAATACAGCAATAAACAACCACAAGAAGCCCCAGTTTTCATTGAATTCTTGTTTTAATAAAATAGACAAATAAATAAATATGTTATATTGGCTACAGAAATTACCTAAAATACATAAAAACTATATTATAGAAAATCTATTTTATATAAGGTATTCAGGGAGAATATTTTGATAAGGTGACTTTCAAATAGAGAGAACTGAAATGAAGGAACTAACCATCAGATATGGGAGACAAGATATGTCCTTCAAGAATAGCATAACTGGGCAGAAATGAGTTTGCATTTGGTTTTGTCTGGTTTTTTGTTTTGTTTTATTTACCACTAGAATTGAAAAGAACTATTTCAAGTTGGACTCAAGACACTCCCTCCATGAATCCTGACATCACATGTAAGCAAAATATTGCTGAAGATCATTCGAAATGGCTGGAACAGTACATAGATAAAGAACTGTCAGAAGTTCAAGCAGGATTCAGAAGAAGCAATGTCACAAGGGATGTCATTAAGGATCTCAGATGAAAAGTGGCTGAAAGTAAGGAATACCAGAAGAATGTCTATTTGTGCTTTGTTGACTATGCAAAGGCTGTGTGGATCATCCTGGCAAGTTGTGGCTGACATTGAGAAGAATGGGTATCCCATTTGATTATGCTCATGCAAAACCTATACCTGGACCAGGAGGTTGTCTGAACAGAGCAGGGAAACACTGCACAGTTTGGAATCAGGAAGAGAGTGCACTAGGGTTGTATCCTGTCTCCATACCTATTCAATCTGTATGTTGAGCAAATTATCGAAGAAGCTGGACTCTATGAGGAGAATTATGGCATCAAGATTGGAGGGAGACTCATCAATTGATGTTATGCAGATAACACAACCTTGCTTGCTGAAAGTGAGGGGAGCTTGAAGCACTTGTTGCAGAAGATCAAGGAATGCAGCCTTCAATATGGATTACATCTCAAAGTCAGGAAAATAGAATCTTACCACTGGTCTTATAGGCAGCATGATGATGAGTGGAGAGAAGAATGAAACTGTCAACAGCTTCATCTTGCTTGGATCCACAAGTAAGATGCTTGGTACCAACAATTAGGAAATAAAGAGACATTGAACTGGGAAAATCTGTAGTTAGGGACCTTTCCAAAATATTTAGGAGTAGTGATGTCAATCTGAAGACTAAGGTGTGTCAGATTCAGGCCATGATTTTTCCAATTACTAGCCACGCATCCGAGAGCTGGACAATGAATAAAGATGACAGAAAAAGAATTAAGGCCTTTGAGCTGTGGTGTTGGAGAAAAGCACTGAACATTCCCTGGACAGCCAAGAGAATGAACAGATATGTCTTGGAAAGCGTGCAGCCAGAGTGCTCTTTGGCTCTTTGGAGGCAAGAATGGTGAGGCTTCAACTCATGTTGCTAGGAAGGGCTATTCCTTGGAGAGAGAAATAATGTGGAGAGTCGGCGAAGAAGAGGAAGACCCTCAAGCAGGTGGATTGACACAGTGACTGCTGCAACAGGCTCTTGTGTGTTAGGAAGTGTGAGGATGGCACAGGATAGAACAGGGTTCAGATCTTTTGTTCATAGGGTCACTATGAGTAGTGCTTAACTAGATGGCACCTAACAGCAACATGTGCCCTTTCTCTCCAGAAGTTTTACACAATTAGGAACATTGATCTCAGTGTTTCACCCCTGCAGGAAGACCAAGGATTTGCAAATGGATGTTTACTGTACAGTTGGATTCTTCAAGGAAAAAAGTGAGAGTTGAGCTTTTTAACAACAATCTGTAGAGCTATGTTTGTTTTGTTGTTGTTGTTTTTATTTGCTATTGAGTCTACTAGAATTCATAGTAACCCTATAAACAATAGCTCTGAACTTTGCCCTAACCTGAGCCAAACTTACTATCTCTGACACAGCTAACTCTATTGACAAGTTCACTGTGACAATTCATCTCATCTGGGTCTTCCTCTTTTACACTGACCCTTCCAAGCATGATGTCTCTTTTAAAGGACTAGACCCTCTTGTCAACATGCCCAAAAATATGAGGGGGAACTTCTTGCCTCCAAAGAGCAATTTTATTTCACCCTCTCAAGGATAAAGACTTGTTTGTTCTCTTTGCAGTCCATAATATGTTCAATACTCATCTCCAGCACCATAACTCAAAGGAATCAATTCTTCTCTGTCATTCTTATTCATTGTCCAACTCTCACATGCATAGCAAGCAATTGAGAAGACCATGCTTTGGATCAGGCAATGGTGGAAGCCATATGTAGTTTGAAATATAAAAGATGGCTATAAGAATTCAAATAGAAGATGATGAGATTTTGGAATAGCCTCATAAAGATAAAAGAAGAAATAATAAAAACAAATGTTTGCAAAATACAGTTGGAAAAGTAGCAACTAAGATGAGGAGAGGGCATTGATTTTACAGTCTATTTTAAAAAGCACATAGATACAAATCCTATGAAAGAAGAACAAGGATTGTCATCATAGTAGCTATCTTGAATATGAAGGTATTTCAATACTTTTTTTTAAAAAAAAAAGTACTCCTGATGGGTTCACAAGCTCTGGTACCATAGTCTGTAGAAAGCTGTGCTGCTAACCCAAGAGTTTCCTGTTTAGCAGTTTGCATCTACCAGACGCAACATTAACGATACTAGTATAGTCTGTATTGCACTGAGAATCAAAACTCCAGGGGTACTTACAGCCTCAGAAACTCTATGGATGGGGTCTGTGAATCAGAATCAGTGATTGCAGTTAGTCTGTGAACACTGGAGTAATGAAGAGAACAGAGATGTTAAAGAATGAATAACAAAAATTATTGCCAGCTCTTTTTTCCCTCCACTTTAAAAGATAGACCTTCATTCAATAATGAGATAAATCTGAAGTGTTAGTTCATCCTAAGATCACGCATCAGTTTTTACACCTAAATGAACTTGAGCATGTCAGGGATCATGAGGATTGGAGCAGGATAGAATGGCATCCCAATGTGTAATTCATAGGGTTTTTATGAGGGTAGTTAACACTATGGCACCCAACAACAGCATCTATTCACCTTCTCTTCGTTCACGTATTCTTTCTTCTTTGTATGTGGTCACGCATCATTTAATCAAATGTCTTTTTATTTTTTTTTTTTATCCACACACTGTCCCAAAGCCTGAAAATACAAAGATCGGTTTCTTTCTTGGAGAGCTCATCATTTATAGCAGAAAAAAAGGTCAATTCAAAGTGACAACTAAAAGAGAGTTACCAATTTTGATACAAATGGCTCAGACTGCTAGAAGAATGCAAATGAAGAGGTCTCAGGAAAGGGCGGCTGGCGCCATATCTGGCAGCAAAGGTGGTAAGAAGCCCCTGAAACAGCCCAAGAAGTAGACCAAGGAGATGGACAAGGAAGATAAGGCTTTCAAGCAGAAACAAAAAGAAGAACAGAAGAAACTTGAGGAACTAAAAGCAAAGGCCGCAGGCAAAGGTCCCCAGGCCACGGGTGGAATTAAGAAATCTGGCAAAAAAATAAGACTGAGGCAATGAACCTTACTTCTGTTCTTTTTTAAAACATCTGGATTCTCTGATGTAACATCTGTTGCCACCTGTAGTTAAAATGAAGTGTTGTGTTGGAGCCTGTTGTATATTTAAGATGAAACTTTGTGAAACAGTAAAGAAGAAACTCTATGATGGTCCATCTCCAGTTTTCACTCAGCCATTCTGATTTTAGCTGTGCAGTCAAAGTAAATGGAATCCAGAATCCTGTCAGAATCTTCATTCTTCATTATGCCAAGAATTCTGTACTACCTGGAATGAAACCAACTCATTTGAAATTAAAAAAAAAAATGCAAATGCAAACAACCAACCTAGTCTTAGCAGAGTGAATTCAGTAGGCTTTATTCTGGATTTAGAATTTCAGTTACATATTAGGTGAATCATAATTTGAAAGTTCCATAAATTGGGTATTTCATAATGGGTGTGTATTAGATGTGCATGTATATATACATGTATGTATGAGAAGCACTTCCCAATTTGGAGAAGACTCTTTTAATGATTAAACCAGTCATTTGCCAAATATACTTGATTTATAGTTATTTTCAGGTAGATTTTTCTGTATCGATTTTTCTGTTAAAATGTGTTCATCAGAGTCATCAGCAGATGAAACATTCAAAAGTAATTGTAAAAAGCAAGTTATCTTGTTGAAACATGCAGAGTGTAACTTAAAGTGAACAAAAGGAAAATATAATAAAACTCCACTCAGTATAAAAAGAAAAACATAGATATGATGCATATTTGGAGACTTGATCACTGGTGTCAAAACTAAAAACAAAGAGATGGCTATGGTTCCAAATACAAATGGTAAACACACCTGGGAATAAAAAAAATTTGTATTAGAGGTGACAAAACTTATTTCAAAAAATAACATTAAAGAGATTTTTCAATTAATTTAAACTATAGGTAAGTTACATTTTTTCAAAAAGATCTATAGGTTCTTCAACAGAAAAAATAAAACCCAATCTTTTTGGAATCTTGAATATAAATAACAAATTTAAAGCTTTTCTTTTTATTAGACCTGTACTTTTCTCAGTCATCTATGTCACCTGTTTACTTAGTTCTTTAGGTATTCTAAAGACATTCTGAAATATACTATTAATATAAAATATTTTTTACTGAAAATTTTTTCCTAAGTGAGCCTGCATTGAAATGACTATTTTCTGAACTGCACCCTACTTTAGGGAGCTCTGATGGCCTAGCAGTAAGAAGTTGTGCTGTAATCCAAAAGGCACATGGTTTGAATCCACCAGCAATCTGCTCCTGTGTGATTTACTGCCTCTGAAAATCTGCTGAAGGGTCATTTATGGATTGGTTCCAATTTGATGACATACAACAACAACAACAACAACAATTATAAACTTGCTTTCATTTGGAAATAACATAATTATTTACTATGCTACATATTTAAAATTCCTAATGATCATATCATTTGGATTCAGAAAAATAAGTTTGAATTTCAAACTCTGGAATATTAGGTAAGTTATTCAACTTCCTCTTAAAATGAGGTTTAGTAATACCAATTTCAAACAGTGTAAACAATGAAAGATATTATATGTAAAACAACTTCTAATAATGTATGTTTAATTCAATGCTAATGGCTACTTTAACATGGCTTGTTGTTTGGGGGGTTTTTTGGTGCATGTGTAACTCTGAATATTAGTCTATGCTGTTCTTGAGAGCACAATTAATAGCTGACTTATCTACATATCTCTGGTGTAGTTAGATTAGTATTTTTCACATAACACTTACCTAGTACATATTTAAGAGCCCTAGTTGCCTAGTAGGTAAGAAGTTGCACTGCTAAACCAATCTATCAACTGCTTCACAGAAGAAAGATAGATCATCTCCTCCTGTGTAATTTACAGCTTCTGAAAAACCTGCTGGAGGATCAACTCTGAGTCTATCCCAATTTGACAGCAATGAGTGTACTTAATTATTGGATTGTGGAATAACTCACTTTCAAGATTATACTGTATTTTTAACAAAGCAAATAACAAGAACCAGATAGTCTTAGAAATTGATGTGCAAAAGGCATTTGACAAAATCCAACACCTCTTCCTGATTAAGATACAGAGCAAAATTGGAATAGAAGGCAATTTCCTCAACATAGTGAAAAGTATATATGCAAAATCAAGAGTCAATATCATTCTCAATGGACAAAGATCAAAAGCATGTTCCTTGTGAACAAGATACCCATTGTCACCACCTCTATCCAATATTGTATGGGAAGTACTTTCTAGGGCAATATGACAAAAGAAAAAAAACCAAAAGGCATCCAAATTGGCAAAGAAATGGTTAAACTGTCACTATATGCAAAATAACGGTTAGAGATGGTAAAACAAGTGGCAGGACAGTAGAGTGGCAGGATACAAGATCAATATATAAAAGTCAGTGGGATTCCTCCACAGTAACAAAGAGAACTCAGAGAAGGAAATCAAGAAAGCAATACCATTTATAATAGCCAACCACAAATCGAGATACTTGGAAGTGAACCTAACTAGAGACACAAAAGACCTTTACAAAGAAAATTACAGAACTTTTTTGCTAAACGCAACAAAAGACCTAAAAAAATGGGGAAATGGTCTCTGTTCATGGAAAGACACAATACACTGAAAAATTACAATCTTACTGAAAGCAAGCTTCATATTAAATGCAATCCCAACACAGATACCAAATTCATTTTTCAAGGAGATCAAAAAGTCAGTTGGCAAGTTTATTTAGAGAGGAAAGAAATCCTCAAATAAACAAAGCACTTATGAAAAACAAAAATTAAGTGGGAGGCATTGCACTCCTTAACTTCAATAACTACCATACAGCTGTAATAACCAGAACACCATGGTACTGGCACAATGACAGGCATAAAGACCAATGGAATAGAATTGAAAACACAGAAATTAATTCATTTATCCATGGTCAACTGATATTTGACAAGAAAACAAAACCATGAGATAATGATAACTTCTTCAATAAATGGTGCTAGAAAAACTGGACTGCCACCTTCAGAAAGTTCAGAAAGTTGAAGCAGGATTCACACTTCTCACCATACAGAAAAATCAACTCAAGGCAGATCAGAGACCTAGGGGTAAATCCCAAACCCATAAAGATCAATATATAAAGTAGGACACCAAGCTTAGAGGCCTAGCTCATGATATAAAAAAGTTGACAAATACAGCCAAAAATACACAACCAAGAGAGGATAAAATTGATGAATGGGACCTTCTAAACATTAAATCCCTATTCATATTAGAAAGAAAACCTATTGACTGGGGGCGGGGGGAACATTTGGCAATACCATTTCAAACATATCAGAAGTTTATAGAATCCTATAGGGGCTCCTTGAAAGCAAGGATTCTGAAGTTTCATCTGACATAGTTTGGACATGTTGCAAGGCAGGATCAATCCTTGGAGAGGGACATCATGCTTGGCAGGGTGGAGGGAAAGCTCAAGAGAGAAAGACCCTCAATGAGATGGATTGATTCAATGACTGAAGTAATGGAGATTGGTGTGTCAGAGACAATAAGATTGGCACAGGATAGAGCAGGGTTTAGGACTGTTGTACACAGGGTCACTATGAGTCACAGGCGACTCAATGGCACATAACAACAACAACAACAGGGCTTCACAAAAAAAAAGAAAAAAGGACTGATAACCAAATTACAAATTGGACAGAAGACATGGAAAGACTTTTTACAGAGGAAGACATTCAGATGGGCATCAGACACATGAAGAAATGTCCAAAAATCATTAGAAATGTAAATCAAAACCACAATGAGATATCATCGCACCCCAATATCAGTGGCAAAAGTTTAACAGGACAGCAAGTAATAAATGTTGGAGACGATGTGGTGAGATTGTAACTCATACACTTTTGGTGGGACGGTAAAATAGCACAACCACTCTAGAAGGCAATTTTGTGTTTCCTCAGAAAGCTAAACATAGACATTCAATATGATTAAGCTATTCCAAGGCTTGGAATATACCCCAAGAAAATGAGAACTGAGTCACAAATGCAGACTTGTACATCAATGTTCATAGCAGTGTTATTCACCATTACAAGAACATGGAAACAGTCCAAATATCCAAACACAGTCAAATGGATTGAAAAATTATGGTACATTTATATGATGGAATACTATGCAGCACTCGGGAGCAATGATTTTGAAAATTACTGCATAACTTGGGAGGGACTGGAGAATATTATGCTAAGTGAACTAGCTCAGTGCCATAAGGGCAAATACTGTAAAATACTATTATAATAGAAATAAAAAGTAAAACATGCATGAGGATCCAAGGAGGGGGAAAGTAAGAGCAGAAGGGTGAGCATGGACAGAGGGGTAAACATAGGGTCACACAATCTGATGGGCAGAAGGAGGAAAGAGTGAGGGAAACTGGAAAGATCCTGTGTCAAAACAATGTATACAAACTTTATAAACAAATGAGTATAAAATTTAAAAAGCTTCAAAAAACAAAACAAAATATACTGCATTTTATTTACTATACAAAGTATTTCACTATGTGTATCATAACAAATGGTGGATAACATAAAGAAACGGTAAAATTGTGCAATCACTATGGAAGATGGTATGGCACTTTCTCAAAAAGTTAGAAATAGAAATACAATTTGACCTACCGACTCCATTACTAGGATCATGTTGTTGTTGTTGTTTGATGCCGTCAAGTCGTAGACGACTCATAGCGAGCGACCCCGTGAACGAACGGCCTGAGCACTGTTCGTACATCGAGTTTCCAGAGGCAAGCCATTTTGGAAGTGGATGCCGCTCCTGCTTCCAGTACTAGGATCATAACCTTAACAAATCAGAGCTGCCACCCAGATATATGCACTTCATCTATATTACTGCATTATTCATAATAGCAAAGAGATGGAAGCAAGCCAAGTGCCCATTAACAAATTAATGGGTGGTGGGGAATGGTATATTCACGCAATGGAATACTACACAGCACTGAAAAGCCAGGAACTCATAAAATATTATACAAAATGGGTCACCCTCAAAGACATTATGCTGAGTGAAATGTCTCAGTCACAAAAGAACAAATACTGCATAATACCACTGTTATAAAACAGAACTGACAGGGGATTTGGGAGAAACTAAGAAAAGAGGAGATAAATAGTAAACACTACACTGGAACAGGTGAAGGAAAAAACTAAAAGGAATATATGATTAGGTACTATTTGTATGACAACAGAGCAGAATAAGAGGTACATAGCAAAGTGGACTGGTGAGGGTGGGGAAGGGAGAAAATGATGCAACAATGAATCTTTTTTTAAATGTGAAATAGGGGGGCTAGGGAAGAAAATGTGTAATAATGAATGAATGAAAATTCATGGTGCCACTGTTGTAGAATGGGTCTGACATCAGGGTGGGGGTATGACAGAAAAAACTGCATAAATTATGCATATTGTATTGAAACAGATGAGGGAAAGAACAGATTAGAAGTGATATATGATTGAGTATTATGGTTAGCACAGGAATCCAGAATTAAGGTTGCATAGAGAAGTGTACTCGGGGTGCGGGGTGGGGGGAAGGGACGTGGGAATTGTATACTAATGAAAGGAAATTTTTTTCTTTTTTTTTTCTCTCTTCGGAGGGGGAAGTGAGCTGGGGGGGAGGGGTGGGCGGGGAGAAAATTGTGGCAATGAATGAATGGAAATCTCCAAAACCTCTGTAAAAAAAAAAATTTAAAAAAAAAGAAAATTCAACTTTTCTCTAAACTGTCATTAAAATAAATATGTATATATACACAAAAAGAAGCTATAAATTGCACAGAAGGAGAGTGTCCATCCCTCCTCTCCCATGGAGCAGCTGGAAATTCACACAATTTGCCTTTGGATTGGCAGTAAAGCTCCTTACACCAGAGCTCCCTAGAATATATAAAATTCCTTAAAATACTCTTCTAATAAAGACCAGTCTTTTTCTTTATCTCCTGAAATTTTAAACTGAAAGTAGTCTAATACGTTTATGAATTAATAAACAGAAAATCTAGGGGGTTTTTTGCATCAAATGTTCCTAAATAGGTTCACAATAGGCTAGAAAGAGATTATGACAATAACTGAGGGGGGAAAAATTACTGACAGACTAAAATGACCTGTGGAAGAATCAAATGGGAATTTTCTTTTGGGGGTTAGATCTACCTTGTAAGGTCTGGGTAGATTGGGCTCCAGGAATCTCAGTTTAAGTAAGCCTACCATCAGGAACCCAATTTGAAGCCACATTGTGAATCCCACATAGTTTATTAAAACGAGTACATCTGAAGGGAAAATCATAATGGAGGCAGAGATGAGAACGTGAATCACAGCTACCGCTGGACAGGAGTGCATATTGAGAGTTGAGTAGATCAAAGGCAGCTGGCCCTCCTGACTTGCAGCAAAAAGTATTCTTGATACTGAAAATATCGAACAGTTAAGAGAACTGAATATGGAAGCTGAAACACCAATTGAAACAGCCCATTGCAGAGAAGGGATTACTTTATCCATCCAGGTCACAGCAACAGCATCTGGAAGAAAAAAAAATCCACTAATTAATTGATGTAAAATGCATACCACATTGATCTTTCAGAAGGGTACATATTATGGTCTTAACAAAGACTCTATTATCTTTTATTATCTCTTTTCATCATTTATATTTCATTGATTTTTTTCTTACATCAAATCTCTATTATTTCCTTCCTTCTACTTATCTTGGATTTGAATTTCTATTATTTTCCTAGTATCTTTAGGTAGAAGCTTAGACCATTGATCTCTTCCTTTCTAAATATTATTACCCCAGTCACTGAGGTAGGTGTGTCAGAGACAGTGAGATTGGCACAGAATAGAGCAGGGTTTAGGGCTGTTGTACATTGGGTCGCTATGAGTTGCAGGCGACTCGATGGCACCTAACAACAACAACAACGACAGTTATTATGTTGTTATATGCCATCTAGTCAAGTACAACTCATAGCAACCCTAGAAACTATAGATCTGAATCCTCTCCTATCCTGTGTGATCATCATCTTTTTTTTTTTTTACATACTTGAGCCCATCGCTGCAATTAGTGTCAGTCCTTCTGTTTCAGGGTCTTACTCTCTTTTGGTGACGCACCATCTTTCCAAGTAGTATATCCCTTTGTAAAGTATAGTCTGTTCTAAGAAAAAGCTCAAAGAATGTGAGATGAAGCTTTGTCATCTTAGCATGCAGGGATCACTTTGGCTGCACTTTTTCTGAAGCATATCTGATTGCTCTTTGGCAGTTCATAGGATATTGAGTACTCTTCTTCAACAACAAAGACATCAACTCTTCTTCTGTCATTCTTATTCCCTATCCAGCTCTCAGATGCATAGCAAGTGATTAAAAAAACCATGGCCTGAATCAGGTGCATCTAGATCTTTATAGTATAGCTCCTCAAGAATTTTGAGAGGTCTGACTGCAGATTTTCAAAATGCAATATATCTCCTGATATGTCTGCTGGAGCCAAGGGTGTTGTTTGTGTAGCCAGGTAATATGAAATTGTTGAAGGTTTCTATATTTTCTCCATCTATAATGATGTAGCTTATCAGTCAAGTAATAGGAAATCGTTGAAGATCTTTTCTCCATCTAACATGTTGCTTATCGGTCCAGTGGTGAGAAATTTTGCTTTCTTGATGTTTGGATGCAAACTATTTTGAAGGCTATATTCTTTGATCCTCTATGGCAAATGCTTCAAGTCCTCTTCACTTTTAACAAGTAAGGGTGTGTCATCTGCATAACACAGGTTGTTGATGAGTCTTTCTCCAATATTGATACCACATTCTTCTTCATAGAGTCGATCTTCTGGAATGAATTGCTCAGCATACAGACTGAATAAATATTGAAGAAAGATATAACCCTGCTGTATACTTTTCCTGATTTTCCTGTCTTTGCTTTACCAGTAAAGCTCTATGGACTATGCCAGGTCTTCTTAATTCTTCTTAACATTATGATGATACATATCTTAAACAGCTAACAATAGTCTTAGCTTCAGCACATTTGAAGCAAAACATCTACGAACATCTCCTGATATTTATTTCATGCTCATTACAAAAACAGTAATTCCGTTATTTTCTTGCATAGATGAATACTACCTGACTGGTATTGTGGGTTGATATTACCTTGTTATAGTGTGGACAACCTGCTGTCAAGGATCTCTCCAAAGTTCTAAAGAGCAATGATGTCAGTTAAAAGACTAAGATGCACCTGAGCCAATCCATGGTCTTCCTTTTACTTGTTGAGCATTTGAAAGATGGACAGTGAATAAGGAAAACAGAGGAAGAATCTATGCCTTTGGATTGCAGTGTTACAGAAGAGTGCTTAATCTCCTGTGGACTGCCAAAAGAACAAATCAATCTTTCTTGGAGAAAGTGAAAAACCAAGTTGCTCTTTAGAGGCAAGGATGGTGAAACATCTGGCTCATTTGGTCATATTGTTAGAAGGAACCAGTCAATTAAAGAAGACATCCTGTTTGGAAAAGTGGAGGATCAGCTAGGAAGAGGACAATCTTCAACAAGATGAATTGACCCAGTGATTATAACAATGGGCTCAAATATATTGGAGATTATGAGGATAACACAGGATAGGCAGTGTACAGATCTGTCGTTCATAGGGTCACCCTAGGTCATGGTTGACTCAATGACACCTACCAATAGTGAAGTGTAGACAAATAGAATGGATTATCTCCCAAAAAGAACTGTTGTGAAGTGTTACAACAATACTGTAGAACAGAGTGGAACTGCCTCATTGAGTTTCCTAGGCTACTTTTTAGCAAATAAAATCACCAGGTCTTCTCATCCACAGAGTTACTGGTGGTACAAACTTCTGACCTTACACTTAGCAGACAAGTCCTTAACCATTGCACCAACAAGTTTCTGCAAACAAGGAATAAATAAAAACTTCTATTTAGGTTCAGATACACCAGATGTTCTGTTGGAGAAGGAAGGGCAATCATCTCCTCCTATGCCAGTTGGATTATTTGACAACATGCAACAATGAAGAGAAGAGAAGAGAAGAGAAGAGAAGAGAAGAGAAGAGAGGAGAGGAGAGGAGAGGAGAGGAGA